TAGTGTTCCCCATGTCAAAATGTTCCCTGTTGATTAGGTGAAGGAAGCAAGTGGGCGGCAAAGAGAATAAAGACATTAGACAGGAACAAGGAGGAAAGTAGCAGTATGTGCTGTGTCCTTTGAACCCACTTCTCTTCTACCTTTAAAGTCTTTAAAGGCCTTGTGATTAGCTAATTTCTTTCTCCAGCCCCAGCCTTTGCACCCAACAATGAGTGAGTCACTTCACTAATCTCCCAACTGGACATATCCATTAATGTCTAACAGCATCTCCAATTCACATGCCCCAAACAGAACTCTCGATTTCCTACTCCTTTTACCCAGAAAACTTGCATCATAGTCAATTACATGATTTTCCTGACATTTCGCTCCAGCCAAAAACACAGAAGTCATCCTCTGTTCCTCTCTCCCTCAATCCTGCCTGACCCATCAGTAAGTTATCTTAATCCACTCTCCCAAACATCCCCAGCCACCCCTCGCTCCATTTTCCTGGCTGGCACCCCAGTGCAATCTTGTAAGCAGCTACATCACCATCCTGGCTAGTTTCTTACTCTTCACAATTGTGAGCCAGTCTTCACACAGCACTCGGAGGTCTTTGTACAGACAGTTCAGATCATATGATTCCCCCACTTTACACCCTTCAGTGACTTGGATAATGCAAACTCTTCCCCACCCTTTGAGAACATGCACGATTTGTAACATCTAGAAACTCACTTCCCCCTGGCTCCCAGTGTCTTACCCACACTGGCTTCCTTCAGTCAGTCACCCAGTGTGGCTTGCTCCTGCCTTCAAGACAACGCACAAGCCAGGCCCCTCTGACTGTACAGGACTCCCCAGAACTCGTTGTGGTTGTTGCCTTCCCATGTCACGCAGGTCTCAAGTTCAGTATCACCTTCCCCGGCCTTGTCTACCAACTGGAAAGCAACAGTTGGCAGGGGTTGGGGGGGGTGTGGTTTGGAGAGGGGGCTCCCATGTTTTGCTTTCAGCAAAGCTTTTATTCCTTGAAATATTCTTCCTTTTTCGTTTTCCTCCCTTCACTAAGACTAAAGCTCCATCTATCCCTTGTTCTTGCAGTACAAGAAGGTGGTTGATATTTATTGAAAAATGAGCTGTCACAAGCTGGCTCTTGCACTCCCCTACCTGTGCTTAGAAACAGCTCTGAAACCAGTGACCTAGACATGCCAGGAGCCTTTCAGAGCTGGGGAGATAAAAGTTAGAATGACAAATTGCAGAAAGGACTTGAAAAGATAAGACTCTGAGAAAGGGGAACAACTGACAAGCCGGATATTTCCCTTGGCTTTTACCCCCAAGGCATTAGCTAGATTCTAAGTTGTAAGGGCACTAGAAGTCAAGAAACCAAGTAGCTGCTAAGTGTCTAAAAGCTAAGTAAACCTTTAACACTCTCACAGAGCTGGAAATATAAATATTAGAGTTCAGATCCATCACCCCATATGGTCACCTGGCTTTCTGTTGAGATTCCTAAAGTCCATGCTCTGGAAAAAGGGCAAAACAGAAAGCATCAGCCAGCCTTCCCCAAGTCAGAATCCTGGTAATGTTCATCTGCTCCTACTCTGACAGCTGGAAAAAAACTAAATCCTCTCGGGGGACTCCCTGGTGGCACAAGGGGTTAAGATGCAACCTATGAAGCTATCTGCAGCCACTGCAGCACGAGTTCGATCCCCGGCCAGGGAGCTGAACTGACCCACATGGCGAGGCAGACCTCTCCTGGCTTGCCCACTGCTCCCCTCAGCAGTGTATTTCAGTCAATCTGCCTGTTCTGTTCCCCACTCTGTCTCTGCTGAATCCTCTCATCCCCCCGCACCTCTGGCCTGTACCCCAGTTCTTGTATGCATAAATAAATAAATCTTAAAAAAAAAATTAAATCCTCTCCGGAGAAAGATAACATTAGCCAGGGTCTCGGGACTATTTTTCCCCCACGCAGTGTCCAACACTTAAACAAAAGCCTTATAGTCCTTTCTGACTCCTGTTTGTCCTCTCGCGCCCCACTTGGCATCCATTTCTAACTCCAGCAGATTGGCGCTCTGACCTCTCACCTCCTTCACCACCTCCTCCCAGATCCAAGCCACCCCCAGCCTGGCTTCCTGGGTAACAGTTTCTTCCTTCATCTCTCCCTTCTGACTTTGCCCCACATCAATCTATTCTCAGCATAGAAAAAAATATTTTTTTTCAATCAAATTATGTCAAACTTTACTCAAAACTCTCTGGGGCTTTTAATCTCAGAGTGAAAGTTAGTCCTGGCCTCCAGTCCCAGAGCTCTCAGCTCTGCTCTGCTCCACCCACCGCACTGTACTTAACCCTTGTCACTGGATAAATCTGGTGTGAATCTGCCTCAGGACTTTGCACTGGCTGCTTCCCAGAATGCTCTGCAAAATCCCAGGTTTCCTTCCTTCACCTCCTCATGTCTTTACTCAAGAGTGTATTGCCTGCTTAGTGAGTCTTCCCTGACAAGTGTAAAATGTCCATGTCAGCTTCTACCTCTGATATTGCCCAGCCTTGTTCCCTGCTTTTCCTCCTTAGCTCTCTTCATTATCTAATGTACATATATGGGTACATATACAATTTTACTCAGAGTTCTCCAAGTGCACCTGGAGCTTCTGAGCCAGCTATTCTGAATGTGCTCGCCCCCAGATCCTTGCCAATCGAAACACTAGTGTGTGTTTTTTTTAAGATTTATTTATTTTTATACAAGAACCGGGGTACAGGCCAGATGCGCGGGAGGGTGAGAGGATTCACCAGAGACAGAGCAGGGAACAGAACAGGCAGACTGATCGAAATACACTGCTGAGGGGAGCAGCAGGCCAGCCAGGAGAGGTGGCTGGATTCTCGCTGGCCAGCCGGCATCGAACCTGTGCTGCAGGGGCTGCAGACAGCTTCACAGTGTGGCGCTCAACCACCTGTGCCACCAGGGAGTCCACTAGTGTTTATTTTTTTAAAAACAAATTTTTTTAAGATTTGTTTATTTATGCATACAAGAACTGGGGTATAGGCCAGAGGTGTGCAGGGTGAGAGGATTCACCAGAGTGGGGAACAGAATGGATGGATTGACTGAAATACACTGCTGAGGGGAGCAGTGGGCAAGTCAGGAGAGGTCTGCTGCGCCATGTGGGTAGCTCCCTGGCTGGGGATCATCGTGTGGCAGTGGTTGCAGGGTTTCACAGGTTGCGTCTTAACCCCTTGCGCCAGCAGGGAGGCCCTAGTGTTTATTGAATACAATTTAATGTTATTTTTTCCTCTAGACCTGTCATAAATAACCTCAAAATTAAGTGATCAACCCTAAATTCTTCACGCAGTTTTCATCTGTAGCATTCAACATATACCTTTACAGTAGGGTTACAATGCCTATATCTGCTTTATACCAAAAGCTACAAAGCACAGGAGGGATGTACCTTTTTAATAGAAAGGCATTTACTGACACAGACTTAAGTATTTTATATGTATTAATGCTTTTAATCCTCATGACAAACCCTAAAAGAAAAATTCTATAACCCCCCTTTTGCAGATTGGGAAACTGAAGCACAAAAGCATGAACTGGCCGGAAGTTGGGGCTAGATCCTGCAGAACTTAGTTCCAGGCGGCACTCAGCTGATCTGGGGCAAATGCAAACAGTTGATTACTGAGAGGGACAGAGACCAGGAGGACCGGGGGAACAGGAAAGGCTGAGACACGGGACAGTGATTTTAAACAATATGGCAACAGAAGAAACAAAATGCCTCCCAGAAAAATAGAAGTGTCTTGCTGAAAATGTTGCTAAACTAGCCACCAAGTAGCATAAGATCCAGTTGCAGGATAATTAGAGAAAAGAAAAACCACCACCATGGACCTTCCGGACCACCTAGTGCCTAATCCATACTCTAGCACATGGGCAACAGCTAGTCTGACAGTGTAGTTTTAGACAAGGCTGGAGCAAAGCGCATCCTCTCTTGAGCTCCCTCCTGCTGTCAGATCTTTCCTCTTGCTTCAATACACCCACACTCGCTTGCTCTCACCAGGCCCAGTAATTCAGGGTTCACCTACACTAACTGTTACAGGGCAGGGAGAGGGGCAGCCCAAACCCCGCAAACCTGCCTATTCTAAATGGGTTCTGCCATCCGCCGCATCAACACAAAACATAGGAGACTTTAATGGGAAGGAACTTTAATACAACTAGGAAACAATACAGGTAAGGCAAAGAGTCTAGTTTCTAAATGAAGCATCCAGAGTTACCTGTCCCCTCGTCCAAATGGGATTGGCCCAGAGCAAGGCCCCAAAGTCTGCCACGAGTCTACAGCATCTTCCAGTGGGGACCCACAGAAAAGGGCCAGAAACAACCAGACAAGCCCGGAAGGAAAAGAGCAAAATCAACATCAAGATAAAAGCTGCTATTGTCACCTCCCCACGGGTCTCACCCACATCTGTGTCACCCCGTCCACAACCAAAAGACAAGCGCAGTTTCTTCACGTGTCTCTAGGCTCCATGCGCCTCCTCCAGGTCTCCTGGCTCCATCCTGCTTCCTTCCTTCCTCAGTCTCTTCTCCAGCTTCTCCTCTTCCTGCTCAGCTCCCCCTTTCCTGGGGACCACCCTGTTACATAACTACAAGATTTTAACATTTAACAAAACGAAAGCAGCCAAATCATCCAGCGGCCCACCCCCTGATGCTTCAGTCTTCAGAACCCGGGGCTTGGCTGATTTAGGAGCCAGGGGGCCTAAAAGCCTCAAAAAAGCGCCCCAACCTGTCCCTGCAGGGTGGGCCCTGCGGCCGGGGAGCAGGGGCGTAAGCTGGGGTGCTGCCTGCAGAGCCGCAGGCAGAGGAGCTGGTGCGAAACGCGAGCAGACTCGGGTGCAGCGGCCCGGGGCCCGGGGAGCGCGGCCGGGGCGCTGGGAGGCCCGGGGTGCGCGCCCCGGCCCGGCACATCAGAGAGCCGGGCGCCCGGGCGCCGCGCAGCCGGGGACAAAGAGCCGACGGCGCCCGCCACAGGGAGAGCGCAGCGCGTGGGCCGGTGGGAATGGCGCCCACACCAGCCCGGCCCCGGCACAGGCCTAGGCGGGGCCGGGGTCGGCCGCCGACCCGCGAGGACCTCAGCCCGCGCCCCTAACGCGCAGGCGCCCCGGCCCCGGCGGCGCGGCTGGGCGGGGCCAGGAGCCGGAAGTGCCTCTCGGCGCCGCCCGCCCCGCCAAGCCCGCCCGCCAAGCCCGCCCGCCGGAACTGCCTGCAGGCCCCGCCCCCGGCCGGGTCTCGGGGTTGCCTGGCAACCGATGCGGGCGCCGCCGGCGGGCTCAGCGCTCGCTGGAGCGAACCGAGCGCGGCCGCTCCCGCCCCCCGCTCCCGCCGCCTCGCGTCTCGCCCGCCGCCTCCGCCCTTGACGCTGCCCGCGTCGCGGAATCCCTGCCCGTGGCGCCGCGTACACCTCCCCGCCGCCCGCCCCGCCTCCGCGGCCGCCTGCCTCGAAGCCCGGCTCCGCCGCCAGCTGGGCGCCCCGACCCGAGCGTCACCCCCAGGCGGCCGGACGCCCCCTCGCCGGCCATGAGCACCTACACCTACACCAGCCGGCCGCGGCCCCCGCCCTGCCAGCGCCGCCGCTACCGGGACGACCTGCTGCCGCTGTGAGTGAGCCGCGCCCCGCGCCCCCCTCGCGGCCCGGCCGGGCCCCCGGTGCGGGGCGCCGCGGGAAGGGGCTGCGCGGGCCCGGCTGGCTCGCGGAATCCCGGCCAGTGCTGGGGGCGGCCCGCCCGGTGCCCGGCGCCCGGCGGGGGCGTCCCCGGCTCGTGCCCAGTGCACAGGGCGTGCCCCGGGTGGCGGGAGCCCAGTGTGCAGGCGGCACGGAGCGCGCGGGGGGCGCACCGACGGCGCGCCCGGAACCGGGCCAAGCGAGCTCTGTCCAAGCTTTGGGCAGGAATCAGGCTGGACCCCCCTAACCCCCCTCCCGGGCTGGACCCCAAAGTGTAGTTTTCAGTACGCCCGCTTGCCCATACTGTTCAACATCCGTGTTTAGAAAGGACCAGGAGCGTGTTGATCCCCTTAGAGTTCTCTCCGTGAAAGCCTCAAATTTTGCAATGAGCAAAACTTCTCAAGAATGCAGGCTGTGGGGCAGCGGGAACCGGGGTTCACTTAGGACGGGCCTGACAGGTGATAAACATTCCACGCAAACCAGTCAATGAATGGCTGAACAGCAGCGGTGCAACCCGACGCTTATTTCAGACACCGAGTTTAAATTCATAATTATCTTATTCTGGCAAAAACTTGAAAGAAATGCCTATCATTTGAGGAAGACCAAAGTAGAAAATTTACAGTTGAAGAGCAATTATTTCTATTATAAAAGCTTCAATTTTAGAGGCATTTTTTTTTATTTATTTATTTGTTTGTTTTGTTTATACACACACTGGGTACAGTCAGAAGCGCGGGAGGGTGAGAGAATTCACCAGAGCCAGAGCGGGGAGCAGAGCAGGCAGAAGGACCGAAGGACACTGCTGAGGGGAGCAGCGGGCGGCAGGAGAGGTCTGCGCGCCATGTGGGACCCTCCTCAGGTGGCCGGGGAGCAGCCGGGGATCGAGCCGGCGCCACAGAGGCCGCCGGCAGCTTCGCAGCCCAGCGCTCAACCACTGCGCCACCGGGGAGGCCCTAAAAGCTTCAATTTTAAAAGAGACTCTTTTTAAAAACATTTTCTGGTGCCTTTGAGTGATTGCGAATCATTACAACAAGATGAAATAAAAATCAACAGATGAAATAAAAATCATTAGCTACAATTTTATAGAGTTAATTGGTATATTGATGTAATCTGTTAATTCAGGTCATCCATTGGAATTGTGTGTGGTATGGTGGAGGGACGTATTTGATTTTTCAGTTTAAAATTATCCTTCTCAGTGACTTTCAGTTTACAAAGATAATAATATACTTGTCAAAGCAAATGAAAAATAAAAGCTAAGGATACATAAAGGCAATGTTAACTGCCTCCTACCCTCTCTACTACTTCCCTATTGTGACTAGATTTAGCACCTTGTGCTGATGTGTCTATGAGCATATGTACACCTAGATGGGAGGTTTCCAAAATGAGATCACACTGTACATATAAATCTGCAGCTGACTCTTCCTCTCCCCGCCCCCCACCATCTTACAAGATCCGATTCCTTTTTTCCTAATCTCCTATGTACATATACAGACATATTTAAGTTTCCTAAAAGTGCTCAAAGCATTGGTGCATGGGAGTACGCGTAGTGCAGCCTAATATCTACCCCTGCCCCCTGCAACACTGCTCACCTCCTGGCCCCAAGTTAGTGTTGTTCGCCATGTTAACAGGTTTGCACAAATGCTTCTGTACTTTTCTCCACAAGACAAGGAAGGGATCTGTAACACAGCTGCACTTGTACAAGGGTTTTCTCTGTTTCCCAGCAATGGGCCAGGGTTATACATGGTTCTCAACCAATGTTCTCACTTATTTCTTCGTAGAGATCCCTCCACTTATATTTAATAGCATGATACCCTCCAGCCTGCATGTGCCATACCTTGTTACATTTTCCACTATCGATAGGTATTCAGTCTGCTTCAAATTTTTAGCTACAAACAAGTAGGTTTTAATAAACAACCTATGGACAGGCCTTTTTATTTCTCTGAGGCAGTTTCATAGAGTGGGATTATTAGGTTGTATATTTTTTAATATAAACAATATGCCTTTCTTCCAGGAATGTTCACACATACCCTTTCTGCACATCCTCTCCAGCAATAGATGTTAGGATTTTTTTTCTTTTTGACTTTTGATAGAATGAAAAATGTCCTCATTGTTACTTTAATTAGTACAGAAGGCTTTAGTCAAACAGAGTTATATTTGGATTTTTCCATTCTAAAAGATAAATGTTGTTGCCAACAGTTAAGAGACTTTTTTTTTTAAAGATTTATTGATTGATTGATTGATACATGCAAACACTGGGTACAGTCAGAAGAGCGGGAGGGTGAGAGAATTCACCAGAGCCAGAGTGGGAAGCAGAGCAGGCAGAGGGACCGAAGTACACTGCTGAGGGGAGCAGCGGGCGGCAGGAGGGGTCTGCAAGCCATGCGGGACCCTCCTCCGGTGGCCGGGGAGCAGCCGGGGATCGAACTGGCACTGCAGAGGCTGCGGGCAGCTTCGCAACCCAGCGCTCAACCGCTGCGCCACCTGGGAGGCCCAGTTAAGAGACTTTTGCAGTAGTCCAAGTACAAGGTAGTAGTGGCAGTGAGAAATGGGTGAATGCATGAAAAATTTGCAGTATATAATCAATAGGACTTACTGGATGTAGGGAGTCGTAGATGACTCCCAGACGTCTACATTAAACCATTGGGTGGTTAGTGATACATTTAATGAAATAGCACTAAATAACAAGTTATAGTGGGAGGATGATAATTTTGAGGTGGCTTTTGAACCATCTTAGTGAGGTGGAGCTGGGTACGGCAATTGCATATACATGCCTGAAGTTCAGAGGAAGGTTCCTAACTAAAGATATACTAAAATTGGGATCTTCAGGTATATGGCTCATAAGTAAAGCCTTGAGAGTGGATGAGGTCCACTCAGGATGAAGGGCTGAGCCCCAAGGAAGTCTTCCAGCGCAGGAGGAGCAAACAGGCTCAAGAATGGGGTGGAAAGGAGGAGCCTAGAAAAGAGCTTCTGGGCATTGGTAGCCTGCTAAGCTGAACCCTGCAGGGAAGGAGGATGGGCCCTGAGGCGTGACAGGGTTTTAAGAATCGTGGGGTCAGGTTATCCAATAGTGGCTTCATTTATGATAAATATGCAATGTACTACCCTTCTCAAAATCATTTCTGGTAGAAGCCCTTATTGGTTTGGGTCCACGTCTGGTTTCATAGCCATAAATAGGTTCTCGTTTGAAGAACTTTGAATAAAAGTATCAACTGCATGTTTTTCACTAATGATAGTTCTTTTTTTTTTTTAAGATTTATTTTTTTATGCATACAAGAACTGAGATACAGGCCAGAGGCCCTGGGGTGGGGGGTTGGGGGGGGGTGAAAGGTTTCACCAGAGACAGAGTAAGGAATAGAACCGGCAGACTGACTGAAATACACTGCTGGTGAGCAGCGGGTGAGACAGGAGAGGTCTGCTGCACCATGTGGGTTGCTCCATGGCCAGCCGGGGATTGAACTCTTGCTGCAGAGGCTGCAGATAGCTTCACAGTGCGGTGTTTAACCCCTTGCGCCACCAGGGAGGCCCTAATGATTGTTCTGATCCCCCAAATTAAAATTGTATTGACATTTAAATATCATTTAAAAGTATCCTTAAGGTTAAAGAACAATGAGAAATGTGACTTATTTTTATTTTTAAGCCTGATTCTTCTAGCAACATAACTTCTCCACCCTGAATCAAACCTTTTTGAGTGTTTCAGGGCTGGAGCCTTCCTGGCAGGCAGTGCTCACACCTGATCGAGGTCAGCAGGCAGCTGCCTAATCCAGCCCTGCCTCTTACTAGCCAGGTGACCTTGAGCAGATTCCTGTCTGAGTCTGTTTCCTCTTCTGTCAAAGAGGAATCATAATTCCCTACTTGAAGCTTATTGTGAGCAATAAATGAAATAATACATGTGAAGGGTCTGGCATATAGTAAGCATTCCATAAATAGTAGCCACTTGTCTCCTTATTTAATGGACTGTGCTAAGCCAAAACCTGCTTTCTTCCAGCATTTTCATCTTAGTCTAAGTGGTATTGAACTTGTATTGCCGTCATAAATGCCAGCACTCCATGGTGGTAGTGACTCGGGATTTGCTGTCTTATAGGCCTGAAGAACCCATACGGTACGGAAACATAATGTACGACCGGAGGGTGATCCGAGGGAACACGTACGCGCTGCAGGTGGCACAGCCGGTGAGTCCTCCAGTCGCAGACCCCCATGGAGGACCAGTTCTCTGCTCTAATGTTAATCTGTTGCAGATTAAAACATTTATAAAATAAAGATGGATTACTAGGAAAATGGGGTCGGGGGGAAGACATACAAAATACCAGCCTGCTGGTGGTTGCCAGAAGGTAGGGGGCTGAGGGGAGTTGTTATTTAGTGGGTACAGAGGTGGCCTTTGGTGGACGGCACTGTGGCTGCGGGACAGTGTGTGTGGACCTAACGCCGCTGAACTGCACACCTAGAAATGGATAGAACAACCTAGCTGTACATTACATGTATTTCAGCAAAAATGGTCACTAAAATACAAGTTGCAGGATTTTTGTGGGTTTCAATAGAACTCTGGCACACTGTGCTAATAGTTTCCAAACTTTTCCTCTCTGTTACTCCACTTAGATTGTGACTGGCCAGTTCTAACAGTTGGCAGACAGCACTAGTGCAAGGCCCAGTCTGAGTAGCACTGGCCCGATAGATTTAGGTCGGTTTCTATTTTCTTGTACTCTGATTCTATGGTCATAAAGAGTGGGAATATGCTTCTTTAATGCCCATAACTATTTATTGAGTTTCAGGCCTATGCAGGGTATTGCGGGTACAGAGATGAGGAATCCTGGTGTGACGTAGAGTGATGGTTTGCGCTAATCTGTACGTGCTCTGTGACATGCGCACCTAAGCCATGGGGCAATGTGTGGGTGTCAGACACTCTGAAGCAGGGGCCATCAAAACCACCTGGAAGACTCCTGATGCTCCTGCCCTCCTGGGTTGAGTGCGGTGGCACCTGCAGGGTTGGATGAGGCCCGTGCATCCTCAACACGCGGCTCTAGGCAGTCCTGGCACAGCCAGTTCAGGGCCCGCATTTGGCACCCACAAGTCTGCGTGATCCAGACACCAGTTTGCACATTTTCTCACGGCAGCGGGAGTGTTCCCTGGCACAACCAGAACAAACACAGAAAGGAGACTCACCTTTTTGTTGCCCTTTCTTAAGAAATCAATGTCGTGATGACTTGACATAGGTTCCTTTGTTCTTCGTGAACTGAAACCTTATCTTATCTTACAAGTCTACACTGAGACCTCCAGTTCCCGACAAGAAGGAGTCAACCGTTTCCTTCTCGTCCTCCTACAGCTGAAAACCAGTGGAGGCAGCACAGGCAGCTTAGGAACACTCTGAAAGGTGGAAGGGAGGGAGTGAACTGGCTGGTCAGGACTTGAGGAAGAGTGGGCACTGGGTTCCCCAGGTTTTCTGTGCCTCCCTCAGTCCCCACTAAACTGGGAGAAGCCTGTACCCTGCCACCCCTACAGACCCATCTGAGAAGAGCCTGCCCCCTCCATCCAACAGTCGGGGTGAAGGAGGCCGGGAACAGAGACCCTTCTGAGGACCAGCCTTCCTGCAGCCTGAGACCCTGCAACGGCCCCCTGCCCTTCCCCGGAGCTCGACCTCACCGCTCTGGGGCAGCAAGAGGCCGGGTGGAAGGAAGGGTCCACCCTTCACCCTCTGGTCCAGCCGGAAGCTGAGCTTCCGCCCTTGCCTGGGGGCGGGGAGGGGATAAGAGATGGTATAAGTGGGTGCCCTACTTTTGAAATGGGTGCCCTATTTTCGCGGGGGTGGCATCAGCAGAGCCAGGAGGAAACTGAATTTTCAACCCTACCTGGGGTGACAAGAAAGAACACGAGGCTGCACAACCCACACCAGTGAGCGGGCAGCTGAGCCCCCCACCTGCCCCCATCAGGCGGACACGAGGCACTCTGCCTTCTCGGGGTGCTGGGAGGAGCTGGGCGGGGTGTCCCTCTCCACCCCCGCCTGCCGCCGGGATTAAAGGGGTCGCTTCTGCAGCCCCAGAGTCTCACGACCGTCCGGGTCACAGCGAGCCCTCCTCGCCCGCCCGGAGCCCTTGGCCGCAGCCTCACCTGCAGGGAAGGGCCGCGCCGGGTTCTGAAGCCGAGATCAAAAATGTGTCCCCATCAGAGTAAACAATTACGACCGTCCTTGTGACGGGTGGAAAAAACAGGAAACCTTAGCAAAGAAACAGAAAATATGAAAATGGACAATGTTAAACTGAAAAAAAACATAACAACCAAAGTTTAAAACTCAGGGTGGATCTGTTGGCGATGACTGAGGGACGATCTGCGGGTCACAGACACATCCGTGGGCTGCCCGGGGCGAATCACGGAGGACAGGCTCGGAGACTGGAGCCGCGGGTTGCTGAGGAGCAGCAGCAGACGGGCGCACCCCACGGCCCGGGGTCCCAAAGGGCACGCGGAGGCCTGGTGCTGACAACAGCATGCGAAGTGCCTGCCTGAGAGCCAGGGCAGGAAGGGCAGGCGGGTGCCATCCAGCAGGATAAATCAAAGAGCGTGGCACCAGGACGCGCCACACTCAAGTTCCCACTCAGACAAAGCCAGAGACTGATGTCTTGAGCGCAGCTGGGGAGCTGTGCCGCGTCACCCGGCTGGAAAGGCAGTGGCTTCTCACCTGAGGCCATGGAGGCTGACAGCAGCGGCAGGAGGTCACCCAGGACCAGCGAGAAAGGGGATTGTCAAATCCTGGTGCTAATCCAATGAAAACACTCTTCAGGAGGAAAGACATTAAGTTGTTCTGAGAGGAAGGACGCTAAGAGAATGGCCGCAGCTCAGGCAGGCGGCTCCGTGTTGCTGACCTCAGGAAAAAGGGGGCCTTCCTGGTGGGCGCAGAGGCTCCTGGGCCTCACCGTGTGGTGCTGGGGAGCCCTGGGCTTAGTTCCTTGCTGAGAGATGCAGGCGTATTCATGCTCAGTGCCTGCACCCCAGGGTCCTTTCACCATCGCCCTGTGAGTGGTCGCAGTGGCGAGAGGGCGTGAGACCCCTGTGAACAGAGTGCTTCTGTGGGGGGCCACAGGCCAGGACAGCGGGCAGCTGCGGCCTTCCTGGAGATCCACCCGGGCCACCAGTGGTCCAGTCTTACGAGACATTTCCAATTGGCTACACCATGCAGCATGGGAACACCATGCAGCCAGAAACTGTGAGCGTGGGGCATGTACCAAATGATTCTATTTTGCTGCAAACTTACCTCATGTGAAAGAGAAAATGCTCAGGAACGTTGTGGACAGGTCCCCACCTGTGAAGAGCTGCAGGTTCCAGGTGTCAGAGAAGCTCTCACCCGCAGGGAAATTGAAAGGCTGTCCTCCAGCCTGGGACTCTGCAGCAACAGGACACTCACTCCAGGGGGGAGCCAAACAGCATCACCCTCTGATCTCCAGAGAAAACACCCACATGTGCAGGCAACTGACAAAGCAGTTAGAGAAATCACGAGTGGGGAGAAAGCAAGAGTGGACCCGGTGTCCACAGGGAGACGGGGTTTTATGTGCAGTGACAGAAAACGCTCGGGCGCAGATCCTCATTCATTGTGCGCCATCAGAGTCTACACTGGCAGATCGTTGAAGTGAAACCCAACCCTCAATCCACTCGGAAGAACCTGGGCCCACGTGGGAGCTCCTTGGCCAGAAATCTGCTCTTTGATCTCCAGAGAAAACTCCCACATGCGCTGGGAATGTGTGAAATCTTTTACCCATTGCTTGAAACTCCAACAGAGGAGAATTCAAAGTGGAGAAAGGGTAGAGAGAAAGGAAGCCCCTGCACTGTGGGTGGGAATGTAGGCTATTGCAGCCCCTATCGAAAACAGGATAGAGGTCTCTCAAAATGTTAAAAATAGATTTAACATATGATCCAGTAATTCCACTCCTAGGTAGCTCCCTAAAGAATGCAAACACACTAATTTGAAGGGATAGCTGCACTCCTGTGTTCACTGCAGCACTGTTATAATAGCGAAGCTATGGAAACAACCTAAGTACCCAACTTAGGATATTTAATTGAGTACCCTAAGTACTGAGATTAGTGATTAGCATTTATACACAGTGTGATGTATATACACAGGAAATACTACTCAGCTATAAAAAATAAAAAAGATGAAGTCTTGCCAAACAGTTCAGATGGGCAATGCATTTTTTTAAATGAACTTGTGGCATTTATAGAACCCCAAAGCTTTCAAGAGTTGACATTGATGATCCTATTCCATTAAGAAAATGGAAATAGATCGAGTATGATTAATAAAAATGGAAACTATATACACAAAGAAAAAGGGACTTCATTGAACAGTCCTAAAATTAGATGAGTAATTTTATCAGGAAAATAGGGTAATAGAAGATCTTTCTTTGGTATGATTATATTGCAATAAAAGGAGAGGAAGGAAGAGCTATTTATAGCATAATATCTTCTGTCAGGTATTATGTTAGACTCGTTACGTTATCATTGGTTTTGCTCCTTACAACCAAAACCTGAGATGTTACTAGCTTTCCCATTGTACGCATGAGAAGACTGAGTATCTGAAAACTTAGGTTATTAGTCTCAGCTTTATTAGCCCTACTAACTAAAGAATTGAAGAGTTGGAATTTAAGCTTCAGAACTCATGTTTTTCTTTCCACTATGTCAGGTAAGTGTGCAGGCAAGTGTGGAGGGTGAAAGCTTATGGTCATGAAACGTTAGCAAAACCACATCATATTTGTGATAGCACAACTTCAGAAATACTGTACACATTCAAGTAACAGTAGCCACTGTATTAAGAATGTGGGTTACAGGTCATTTTTTTTTAACAAGCTTTAATGTTATTACATTGCCATTTCAATATCAATGTTAAGAATTTTCATTTTATATATGAAATTTTTTTCATGCGAAGTATTTACATTTCCCCCCTCCTTTCATGTTTACCTTGAAAATGACTGTAAAACAAGATGTGGACGTGGAGTCAAGGACTGCTGGATATTGCAGAATCTCTGTGAATAATACTTCCAGCCCAAGTCACCTGTTGTTCTGTGCACTTGGCTAACCTCATTTGGACTGAAGATGTTTTCTTTCTGAGCTAATATATCTTTTAAGGAAATTCTGGACAAATGAAATTCAGGTTTAAAAAATGCTAATGCTTTTCAAATTCTTAGTGACACACTAAAATGTACTGTAACCAAACGGTCACCTCAGTTTTACTAGGCACCCGAGACTTTGTGGTAAACATGCTTGAATGAGGAAGAACAGGTTACAAGGTGGGATTCTGCACTGCGTGCTCCAGCCCACAGCTACACTCACAGTTCCTCGTGGATCCCTGCTGGGATTGCCTGGCTAAGTTGAAATAAGATTTTAAGCCTCTGGGGATCAGGAAGTGCTTTCAGACTCTCCAGGAATCACTATGGGAATAGCAGTTCTATGTGCTTTGAGAAATATGTTCTAAAGTTTAGAGGCCTTTTCTGTCACCCTCAGTCTGGGCGGCCTGACCCTGTAGAGGCTCAGAAACAGCATCAGGCTAAGAGGAAGACTCTTGCCAAAAAACGAGCCCGAGACCAGCTGAGACCGCGAACGCCGGAGCCCGTGGACGGCAGGAAGCATGTGGACGTGCAAACAGGTATGTGGCCCAGCCACAGGCTCACTCAGTTTTCTGTCAGTTCATTTGTTTATGATCTTTGTTACTTGTGTTATTGGGGAAGTCTTCAGGACCTGGTAGGAGAAATCCTTTCGGTAGATTAGTAGTGTATTTGTTATTATATTGGACATGCCTAGCAGTTGAGATGGGTATGAGAAAAAAAGAATGCTACGATCAAATTGATCTCTTTTAGCCCTTTTCACATAATCTATCCTCAAAGTGGGGTTATGTCCCCCCTTTTCTTTTTATGGCCCAACCTGAGTCACTGTTGGGCTTAGAAGACAGTGAGCAAGGCAGCGCTGCTCAGACATTCGGTTTGTTTCCTGAGAAAAATGGGCCCCTTGGGCTGAGAGCACACCCTCTTCTCCCCTTTGGGGCCTCTCTCGTTCCCCTGTCGCTGTGTTCATTCCCCAGGGCCACAGGCTCTCCCAGGCCAGGGCCAGGCTTCTGTTGCCTAACTGTTCTCATCTGTAGAGACCTGCAGGGTCTAGCTGTTGTTGACAGACTCTAGATAATCAGACATGACTTGGTGCTTTCCTGGGACCAACATAAAGACTCCCGAATCCCCTGGAACCCTGCTAAGATGGCGCGTGGATTCAGTGGGGTTCCTTCTGGACAGCAAAGGGAAGAGAGCCAGTCCATGCTGTAATCCCTACCTTGAGGCCAAGTCTGAAATGAGTACATGTTTGTGTTTAGTCACTATAGTCACAATTCTGTGAGAGTTAAATGTTAGTGTTTATTCATGCCATCAGATTATTAAGTGATGCCACAACAGCCACCTTTTGCTGAGTATTTCCTGTATCTGAGACTCTGCCAGGTCCTTTCCCTATGTTTCTCCCTTATTATTACAAACAATCTATGTGATGGATAATTAGGATTCATTTTACAGATAAAGAAACTGAGGCCCTAGGAGGTTGCAACTTGCCTAGTTCAGCATTTAACTCCAGTTCTTATGTCCCTTGCATGATGCCACACTGCCCTTGCCTCACAGAAATCATTCCTAAGGCAGAATGTGTTTCCCTGTGTCTATTTATAATAGGCTACGTGGAACACCAGGTAACCTAGCAACATGGCGCATAATTTTTTTAATATCTAGGAATTTTCAAATCTTTATACCTTTACTATCTTGGAACTCATTTATGTAGATGAGTGATTAGCTTCCCCACTCTCTTGTAGACCTTGTCCTGGTATACATCTATGCTTTCATGTCTTCCTTAGTTCCATTTGCATAGACAGAGCTCAGTGCTCTCTCAGCATTCACTGGCTCTTCCAGCCTGGCTAACCTGATGGTTTTCAGTATATAAAGACACTGACTGAGTTCCATATGAGAAGTGAACCTTGTCATGGGCACTTTCATTCTAAGGCTTATTTCTAATCCACTTCACTCTGTTGTAAAGGAGCTGAAGTTTCAGATACACATATATGCTTTAAACAGACCAGAATCTCAAACTCAATGTATATGATATTCCCTTAGAATTATACCTCGAAGAAATTGCTGACCGCATAATAGAAGTTGATATGGAATGCCAAACAGATGCATTTTTGGACAGACCACCCACACCACTCTTTATTCCTGCCAAAACTGGCATGGATGTGGCCACCCAAATACTAGAAGGAGAGGTATAGTACATGATTGAACTTCCCTGTCTTCTCTATAAATAGGTAAAGTTAGCTGTAGGGAAAAGGTTAATATGGGTACAAACCATTTCACAAACAGAAAGAGCCTACTTACTGGATTGCTTTTCAAGTTTATCTATAATAATTTTATCCTGGAGTACCGAAAGTGTTTGAAAATGTTTTTCTCTTATAAGGAATGAAAATTACTAGAAATATTTTTAGAACATCCATGTCTTTTATTTCATGTGTTTGCCATGCTTGCTTTTAATGTGTGAATATAAAGGAGACTTATACCAAATAAGGAAAAATACTATCTCTGGTATAAAAGATTCTACTCATTAGTTGATTGCATAACTTTCATGAAGATAATCTCTATTAGAAACTAACCTAAAATAATTACATTTTAGGATTACAATTTGAAATGCATAGCCAGGTTTAAAGGAGGCAAAGCTTGTGTGTGTGCTGACTTAAATGAGATTTAAGACTTGAAGGAATGTGAAAGAACTGTTGTTGAAACTGGAAACTATGTCTTCATAACCCGCATTGGCGGGTATATTTGCCTCCTATCCTGCAGCTGATACACCACAACATCCATTATTCTGTGGCTGAGGCCTGCTAATTAAAAGCAACCAGTAAAAATTAAGCAGAAGACGCAGACAATAAGAAAGGCATGGGCTTCCCAGGGCTTCAGAGTTTGATCTTAAAATTTTTGAGTATCAGGGTTCATTTTGATGGCTGCATAGGTCTTTTCATAACTTTGACTTAATCACTTTTTGTCTATAAAATCCTGTGATTCTGTGTGCCTTGCCGGGCTGTTTTGAGGATTTACTTGAGGACAGATAAAACACCAGCGTAGTATCTGGCACATAGAAGACACTGAATAGGACCCTGCTGTTGCTTCTTCTGGATAATGCTTCATGTAGCATTCGGTTCATGCTTCAGTTTTTAATGTGCTCTGTTTTGTGTGTTTAAGCTCTTTGACTTTGATCTTGAAGTTAAGCCAATGTTAGAAGTTTTGGTGGGAAAGACCATTGAGCAGGCTCTTCTGGAAGTGATGGAGGAGGAGGAGCTGGCCAAGCTGCAGGCGCGGCAGTACAACTACGAGGAGCTGCGCAACGTCGAACTGGCCGAAGTTCAGCGACTCGAAGAGCAGGAGCGACGGCACCGGGAGGAAAAAGTAGAGCATTCTGTTTTTCTTTTGCAGATAGTATTTTGGCTGTTTAACAGATTATGTTCAAGCTTACATGTGATATGCCATAGAGCTAAAAATCTTTAGAAATGGGTTAGAGGAGGCCTATGGTGTGTGCGGCCTGGGGCTCTCCTCTCTATAGACCACAGAGCACCCATAGCCTGAGCTATGTTTTCAAAATTCTAACTGATATAAATGTATCTAACTAGAGTTTCCAACATTTTAAGTGGATTTTTTAAAAAAGATTTATTTATTTATGCATACAAGAACTGGGGCACAGGCCAGAGGTGTGGGGGGTGAGAGGATTCACCAGAGACAGAGTGGGGAGCAGAACAGGCAGCCTGACTGAAATATGCTGCTGAGGGGAGCAGCAGGCGAGTCAGGAGAGGCCTGCTGTGCCATGTGGGTAGCACCCTGGCCAGGGATCGAAGTTGTACTGCAGTGGCTGCAGATAGCTTCATAGCTTGCATCTTAACCCCTTGCGCCACCAGGGAGGCCCTAAATGGATTTATTTAAATGATCTATTTCCCCACTGAAAGATACTCTTTAAGTATCAAGGGTCCTAGTGAAAGAAACACCCTGACCTGCCCTCAGTCCACACCAGGAGCAGTGGAGGGAACGTGCATTAATTACATCAAGGTGGGCCAGGGAGAAGCTGCAGAGTCTGAATAGAATCCTGGAGCTTCCTCAGTGACCAGAGCCCTTTGAGGCTATGCCAGAACTGCTGGGTCTCTAGAGAATATTATTTAGATCGTAGATTTTTAGAACTTTGGATTCTAAAATTTTTTTGTTCTTCCAGTAGGCCAGTAACCTCCAGTGAGGAAACGCTGGCTCAGGGAGCTTGTAGGCTCTTCCAGGGGCTCGTGATGATTGTCGTCCCATGCTGTACCAAGGACAGAGACTGAGAATGTTCCAAAGAGCCTGACTCCCCACACAGGGTCACTTGGCTGTTAGGATGATCTGCACCATGCCTGATGGAGTGGATTTCCAGTTTCCCTCCAAAATGAATGTGTAAAGAGCACAGGGTTTAGGACAAAGATTATGCTAAAATAACAGATTTGCTTACAAATATAAAATGGACACTAGCAATTTAGTTTTGCTGAAATAATCAGTGAAATCAGTATCAAAAACATTTATTTACTGTTAGGAACTATATTACAAAACATGGAATATAAATCATTTAAATTTCTACTTGCTTAAACCTTGAAAATAGACAATTAGAAAATATATTAATCCTCCCACTTCTCCATGGGAGCAGAGAAGAAAGTGTGTGGGCTTAGGGGGTTTCATATGCTCGACAAGAAGCAACAACAAGAAAAGAGGTTTCGTGATTTTCAGAACCATTTCAACATCTATGAATTCAAAGAACAAGGCAAGTCATTGGCCCACATTCTTTAGTTGAACACAGCTAAGTCACCACAGTCTTCACAGCAGCTGTACTTTATGATAATCTAATTAAAGCACAGATAGGGGCTATTTTCCTTTGATTGCATCCATAGAGTCAAAACAGGCAGATCTTGAAATTACAGACCTCTCAGACTTTGCATGTTTGTTCTCAGAGCACCTCAAGAAAGCGTGTCACTAAGGTGTTGTTTTCCAGTGCGTATAACTTATGTTGACACAAGGCAAAGTCTATGAACTATGCAATAGCATTGTGTCTAAAAAGCAACCCACATACCTTAATTAAAAAATGCTTTTTGGGGCCTCCCTGGTGGTGCAGGGGTTAACTATCAGCACTATGACGCAATCCACAGCCACTGCAGCAGGAGTTCGATCCCTGGCCAGGGAGATGACCCCACATGGCGCAGCAGACGTCTCCTGTCTCGCCCGCTGCTCCCCTCAGCAGTGTATTTCAGTAGATCTGCCTGTTCTGTTCCCCACTCTGTCTCTGGTGAATCCTCTCACCCTCTGTACCTCTGGTCTATGGCCTACACCCCAGCTCTTATATGCATAAATAAATACATCTTTTAAAAATAAAAAATAAAATGCTTTTTGCTGAGACATGCTAACCAGCACCCGAACCTTCAGCGAGCCCTATTCTTTGCCACAAACCTTCACTTTGTAGAAAACACATTATCTGCGGATCTCAGTAAAGCACAGTGCAATCAAAGGAGACACGAGTGTAGTTTACATGAAAATGGACTAGGAGATGAGTTTTACCTGAAGCTCCATCTTTTCCGAACCCACTACCTACTAGCTGTTGAAATTCATCCAAATCTTGGTGAAAAACAGGAAGCTGTAGCAGACAGCTCACCGTCCCAACAGATGCCCAGCTGCTGACCGGAGCAGGCTCCGCCTGGGCTGAGCACGTGTGTCTCTCTCTTTCTCTCTCTCTCTCTCCCTCTCAGGAGCGGCGCAAGCAGCAGCAGTGGGAGATGGTGAACAAGAACAGCGAGACAGCGCAGAAGATCGCAGCACACGCCTTTGCGCAGCGCTACCTGGCGGACCTGTTCCCCTCCGTCTTCGACAGTCTCCGGGAGGGGGGCTACTTCTACGATCCCATCGAAAGAGGTTTGTGGGGATTTTGTTAGACCCTATGGCAAAAAAAAAAAATAAGCAGCCTCTTAATAGTTCAGTTTTAGCTCAGGCCTGTTGTCATTTTGAATTGGAATCTTTCTGACTCACAAAGGTCAGTTACAGTTGTTTTAAATACAAAGCATCACCAAGAAGTGGTGTATTGTGACGACTTTGGTTTTAGGATGCTTGTCTTCGCGGAGAAGCAATAGAGGTAGTAGAAAGACTGCATAGACCTGATGTGAGAAACGGATTTGGGTCCCAGCTTCATGGTTAGCTTCAGGACTCTCAGTTTCCTCACATGGACATGAGATCTCTTAGGCGGTAGATGTCATGTCTGTGGAGTGGTGTGTTTGCTGGCACACACGTGCAAGCAGGCAACTTCTCAAGTGACTTTCTCTTCCAATCAAACCCCTTTGGGGGCAGCTATTAGGGCCATTTATGTCTTAAAATAGGTGTTGGCTCTCAGTCAGGCACCGTGTTAGGTGTGGGAATTAATACGGGAGGAGCCCTGCACCCTGCCCTTGCCCCCGGCTTTCTGTTGCACAGGACAGAGCTGGTCTGCCCAAGCAGAGGCTGAGCACCCCCATCTTCTCACTGTCACTCTCCTTCCTCGGCTCAAAAGCACTTAAATCCCCGGGACACCACACACAGGCCCTATTTTGGGCAGATGCGAGTAATGTTAATCTTCACTGATCACATACTCGATGCATATGTAATATGAATAGGACGTAAAGGTCAGATTACAGACATTATTAGCAGACATTTATATTACATTTTCTAATTTTTATAGTCTTTTCATATGTGATACCATTTGGCCCTCCCAACAGCCCTGTGAGGCAAATTGAGTAGATTTATTTCCAGTTTTCAGAAGCGGACACTGAAGCTCCAGAAGTGAAGCACTCAGGGAAGTGGGAAGGTGTGGATTGACCCGGTTGCGGCTCCAGGCCCAGCTCTTCCCTGTTGCCTGGCCTCTTCCTGGAATCTAACCGGTTCTCGCTGTTCGTTACTGAAGCCAGAAGCCTTTCTTTCGTTCATAAATGGCTAGGAAAGTCATTTATAAATAACTTAGAAATTTGCAAATAAGATTTATGCCTCAGAACAAAATTATATATAATAGTGATACAATTTTCTACCACATTCTAGTGTTACCCCAATAAAAAGTCACCACTAGATGCTGGGCCTGCCCCCCACCCCCAAAGAAGCCATTTGAAACATTCAAATCTAAATTATAATGGGCCATATTTTTAAAATGCTTACACAGCAGACTTCCATTTCACTTTGAATGAATTTATCACTAATGGAAATACCCACTTCCAGATGGCCTTGTTCTCAACTGCCCTCTGACCATCCTCCTCCAAGTCCCGGCCAGACTGTAGGCCCCAAACCTCCCGTGGGAGAATCCTCCTGACAGGCACAGCTCAACCCCAACTCTGCCTGGCATTTGGAGGAGGCCTGCTCCCACCACCCCCTCCTCCACCCCACCCCACCCTCAGAGTCAGTGCTGGAGGCTTGGACTGTGGGGAAGATCTCATAGTTCTGCAAATATTATTTCTGCAGCAGCAGAAAAGAAATGAACCAGAACATACATAGGGATGACGGCAGAGTACTGCTGTATGAATCTATTTAATATTTTGTATTAAGAAAACAGTGTTGATGATTCTCCCATCTATACGATGCATTAAAAGCACTTACTAAAATGAGCCCTTTTTCGCTGCAGACATCGAGATAGGCTTCCTCCCGTGGCTGATGAACGAAGTGGACAAGGCCATGGAGTACAGTATGGTGGGCAGGACCGTGCTGGACAGTAAGTTTTTAATGTATTTAAAAGTCATCTCTGAAATTTTTCAGTAGAAAGAATATGAAAGAGGAGGTTCATTTTAGTGATGTTTCTGTCGTTTTTCAGTTTATCTGTTTTATGACCAAAGGTGCGAATGTTACCTTCAGTATTATTTTGGTTCTCCACTTGGTCAGAATTAATATCTTCTGTCATTATTTTATGAGTGAGACTGGGTTAGAGCAGGCACTGAGCATCATTCATGGGGGCTGTCCCGTGGCCTGAAGCGAGGCGCCCACTGCTGTGAGGTTAACTCTGGGGGAGGGAGTGCCCGCGAGTGGTTCACACTCCTGGGCTGCGCGGGAGCTGCTCAGTACGCGACGTCGTCGTGATGTCTGTGCGTGTGACTTTTCAGTGTTGATTCGTGAGGTGGTGGAGAAGAGACTGACGATGTACGAGTGGAAGGAGGGCCAGGGCCCACCCGCGAAGCCCGAGGGCAGGTTCAGCGAGGCCGAGGCCAGCGGAGACGCGTGGAGGGAGGACGAGTTCCCGCCACAGGCACAGAGGCTGCTGGAGGAAAGAGACTCCCTGGTGCAGGCGCCTTTCGAGGAAAGGTTTTTGGAGAACATGGCATCCCCCGAGGGGAGGTTCATGGAAGAAGAGGAAGAGCAAAGACAGACAGAAAATCCCTAGGGAGGGACTTCTGTCCGTGGAGGGCGCTCTGGACCCACAGACGGTCGGCTTGACCAGCGGTCAGGTGATGATGCGTGAGGCCCCTCAGGAGGTGGAAATTATGTTGTATTTAGTCAACAGGTCTTTTTGTCTAATGGACCAGGTGAGTCAAATGTGCTGAAATAAAAGCTACTTTTAAAAAAAACCTCATACTTAATTCATTTATTTAGTAGTTGAGTTTCTAGAAGCTATATTGTAACCAGTGAGAATTATGTCACACCAACTTTCTCACTGCCTGTAACAAACAAATGTATTTTTCCTTAGTGGATCAGTTCTTTGTTTGGTAAGTATGATGTTTAACATTTGGTGACGGTGCTGTCTGCCATTGAGCGTTTCTTCTCTATAGGAAAACTGTTCAGTTTACTCTAAGAATGCATCAGCATTGTCTTACTGAAAGCCATCCCACCTTTTTGCAAAGGCTGGTAAATACTCTTCTTTCGTTTGTATAAAATTAAACAAATAGTTACCCCTTCCATCTTCAATATTCAAGTAAGGCTTAAGGATTCTATGAGCTGGGACTATAGCCTGGTCTAATTTTTCTCTCTCCTGCTATGAAATAATTTCAGGCCATGCCAGTAAAGCCAGAGTCCCTAATCAGCCTTAAGTAGTTCCACCCCCTTCTCACAGATAACCAGTTATCACTTAAGTATCTGCCTTCTAGACTTTTCTAAGACATTTATATTTGAATACCTGGAAATAGTGGGTTGACTTTTCTCAATATAAGTAAATGTATTGTTTGCATTTTTCACCGAACAGTGTATCTGAGACTTTTTAACATTAACACATTTAAGTCACTCATCTTTTTAAACTCTGGTAACATATCACATCTTCAGACTGTGTGATGGTGTTTAATTCCTCTAAACGTCTTAGTGGAGATGGGAAAGCGGCATTTGCTTATCAACAGGTTTTGGTTCATGACCCTCAAAATGTTAAAGGTACCCATTTCTTCTGACCTGGAAAACTTTCATATTCTTATCATGTTATGAAAACTTATCAACCATATCCACTAAATTTTTTGTTTACAAACCTAATTTTTATATGCTTTACTTACTAATGAAAACACATTTTGCTTTTCTCTTTGTTTACAGGTGACTTACAGAAAATTTTTATATATTTTCTATAGTTCACTGACAGATACAGTCACTTGCCTCAATTTATTTATTAACCATAACAACATTCTCAAGAAGCCCAACATGGATTTAATTTCCCCATAGGCCAGTTAGCACCAATTGTTTCTTACCCCCAGTTCCTAGGTCTAATCAGCCGTCTCTGAGTTTGTTCACTCTCAGAGACCCTAAGGAGAATGTTACAAATAGGACATTGCTATTATGAAAAATTACTGTCTGTGGTGGTGTGTTGGTGTCTGTAAGTCTCCTTTTGAATTAGGATGTATTTACCTTTGTGTTTTAGCAACTTCAACGTACAGAGTAAAATTTAATAAATTGATAGGTTAGATGATTTTTTTTTTTGTTTTTCATGAACCATGAAAATAGCATAACTGAAATGTAGGAGTTAAAATATACCGTCATGGCAGTATAGGCTTGCTTATAAATAAAAGGAATCAAGACATTTAAAAGGGGCCTGTCCTGGTGGCACAGAGGCTGAGCACTGGGCTGCGAAGCTGCCTGCAGCCTCTGCAGCACCGGTTCCATCCCTGGCCGCCGGCGAGGGTCCCTCATGGCACGCAGACCTCTCCTGCTGCGCCCGCTGCTCCCCTCAGCAGTGTATTTTGTCAGTCTGCCTGTTCTGTTCCCTGCTCTGGCTCTGGTTAATTCTCTCACCCTCCTGTGCTTCTGACTGTACCCAGTGCTTGTATAAATAAATTAAAAAAAAAAAAAGACACTTAGAAGTTTGAAGTGGGGCCTTCCTGGTGGGGCAAGGGGTTAAGCACCGCACTATGAAGCAATCTGTAGCCTCTGTAGCACGAGTTCAATCCCCGGCCGGCCAGGAAGAAACCACATGGCGAAGCAGACTTCTCCTGTCTTGCCCACTGCTCCCCTCAGTCAGTCAGTCTGCCTGTTCTGTTCCCCACTCTGTCTCTAGTGAATCCTCTCACCCCCTACATCTCTGACCTATACCCCAGCTCTTGTTTGCATAAATAAATAAATCTTTAAAAAAAATAAAATTTTGAAATGGTAGGATAAAATTATCTTAAGATAATATTTAAACAATTTTTTGCTATATGCACGTACAATGTTTATAAATATTAAACATTTTTATTTGTGATCATTTTGTTTATTGTTCAGCAACATTTTAGATTATGTTAATACCCATATTTACCACTAGGTGTCAGTAAACCCCTAAAGTAAAAATACCTTGCCTCCAACTTGATACTTGATTTAATGACCAAAAAGAGACTTGGGGAGAAAGGATTCAAAAATAGATTGTACTCCTTGGAGACTCTAGGCTCACACTTGAATAGTGTTTCTTGACCTAAAATCATCATTCAGCTCTGCAAAGGTGCCAGTGAACTCCAAACAGTAGCTCTTAAATTCTTGAAATGTCAGTTTTTGAATGAAGCTTTACTGTTAAATACTCCAGTTCTCTATCCAATTCAGGATCCTTACAGGGGATCATTTAGCCTTTTTAAAATCCCTTTAAGGCCTTAGCTTTAGTTCAATGAGCTGCTTTAGAATAACGATTCTTTCTTGTCTAGCTTTGACTCCTAGGGCCAGACCGTGGTTAGTGCTTAGTCGCATATATTGTTGGACAGTTCTCATTAGAAACTTCTTTTATACTGATTCAAAACCATGGGCATGAGTATTATAGAGGGAATAATTTTATTCCCTCTGAATTTTAAAATACAGAATAATTTTATTCCATATCAGCCCTGTTCTATATTCCAATACATTTTTTCCAGATTTTCCTTTCTGTTAATGAAATATCACCAGTCTTCCCAATTACTGCTCATATATCAGAGTTTTAGAGCTTCGTCACTCTCCACCCGGCTACCAGTACCTTGAAGCCTTTGGTCAAAATCATCTTAAAGCATATTTCCCATTATTAGCTATAAAACTACATATATAATCTGACTCAGCTGGGAGAATTTGGAGCTACTATCGACCATGGCTTGGGTGTCACAATTTATTCGCTCTTCCTTCAAATACAAAAAACCTCATTTTCAGAACATAGGGGAAAACAGCCAAAAGCACTCAAAATGTCACAGGTCTACACACTTTGCAGTGAATCATGCAAACTTAACGTTCTGCTAACCAATTTACCTGTTTGATTGTTAACCACACTGCATATTAGAAGTAGCATATTAACAAGGATAGAGAAACTGCAATGGAAAGACCTAACAATCAAAAGGTGGGAAAAATAGATAATTCAAAAACCATAGCAGTCTTGGCCTAAAATTAAATATTCCTTGACAGGTCCTAGACACATCTGGGGGTGGGTGGCGGTGTTTGTGTATGTGTGTGTACAGTATAGAAACGAATGTTTATGAAGGAAATACTTCTAGAAAGATGGAGTAAGCACCTCTAAAAATCTGTTCCTCCACAAAAACAATGTCACTACAGGCAAAAAATTGTCAAATAGCAACATGTTCAGAACTCTGGAAATTAACCAAAAGGCTTGGAACAATGAAGAGCATTTTATTCAAGAAGTGACTGACTCTCAGTAAGAACAGTAAGCTTTATGGCATTTTTACTTGCCCTGTTGCCCACTCCTTCTTCCCAGCTCCAAAATAGTCTTGACAACCGGACTCAGGACCCTAGTAACTGAGAAAAACAGCAGCCTAGCAGCTGCTAGAGGGAACAAAATATGCTTAGTTCTCAAAAAAAAGCCTCATCTCCAGAAATTTGTCACTATTTGATCTGTCTGGCAGCTCCCTGGAAAATATTACTAACAGAGCTTATCTTTATTTGAACTGACTCAGCTTGCTCAGTTAGGAAAGTCCTAGCACAGGGCATTTTAAAAAGAAAGTCACTGTAGCCTGAGGTGGAAATACCAATTGGAGCAAACAGGAGGCTGATCAAAAAGACTTGAAAGGGAAATCTGGGGACTAAGATATCCAGAGGGGGCTCTGAAAAAGCTCAGCATATTCCTGGGAATTCATCTGTAGGGAGCAGCGTAGGACTATGTGCACAACCAGCCTAGAGAAGACCTAAGAATGCCTAAGGCTCACATCTCCAGCTGACCTTGAGTATCTAGACCAGCAGAATTCAAAAGCCAAGTAAGAGTTGTAAGTTGCTGAAATATTCAAGGTATGCTCCAACATAAAGTCCCGCAGCAAAGGGTCAACAACTTATTCATTCAGGCACTTAAGGAAATCCATCTAATCATTAGCTAAGCACTAAGCTAACTAAGCAGAGATTTCTGTAGCAGGGCAAAGTAAAGAATACAGACTACAGAATTGGTTCGGGGAGGCCATTAAGCAAAGAGCAACTACAGCAAATAGCAAAACACCTTCCTGGTTGGAGGGATGAGGGAAAAATCTGATATCCAGACCTACCAGCATTTCATTCTCTAAAAATGTGCAAATATCAATAAAACAAATTACAAAGCATGCCAAAAATGGGGGCAGATGACTCATGCAGAAAAAAAAAGCAATCAGTAGAAACCATTCTTGAGAAAGGAGGAAGTCTAGATTTTGAACTTACTAGACAAAGACATTAACCTATTATAGATAACAAGGAAGTAACAAAGGAAGTAAAGAAAACTGTGTCAAAAGAAAGTATGAGAATGATCTCACCAAATAGTGACAGAGCTAAGAACCATTAAAAAAAAAAAAAGAAATTCTGTTTAAAAATACAATGACTAAAACGAAAAATATGTTACAGAGGTCAGAAGATTTTAGCTGGGAAGAAAGATTCCATGAGATAGATAGACTGAGGTTAAGTCAATTAAAATTAGCCCCCCCAAAACAAAGGAAAAAAATGAAAAAAAGTTCAAGAGAGCTTCAGGGACATTAGGACACCACAGGAATACCAACAGATACACAATGGGAATTCCAGAAGGAGAAGGAAGAAATAAATGGGGAGAAAGAACATTTGGAAAAACCATGGCCAAAAATTTACTCAATTTAATGGGAAAAAATGTTAATATTTGCATTTGAGAATCTCAATGAATTCTATGTAGGATAAACTCAAAAGTTAATAATTAGACCCATAGTCAAACTGTT